ATCAATCCAAGGCATTTTGCTGCCTAAAAGGAAGAGCAGGATAGCATAATCCATCCCTCCAGCCCCAATTTCACATGCAGAAGCCAAGCAGCAAGGAGGCACAGAGCATAGCACACAGTGCTAATTTAGAGCAGTGATTCTCAATCTTAGGTCCCCAGATGCTCTTGGACTACAACTCCCAGAAATCCTGGTTAGCACAGCTTCTAGGAGTTTTAGTCCAAGAACATCTGGAGATCCAAGGTTGAGAACTCTTGATTTAGAGGAACGAGGAATAATGCTATGCCCTTGTCCACTGACCAGGTCAATGATGAGCAGCACGTGGCTCTCTTGCATTTCCTTTCTCTGCTTACTGAGATGGTGGAAGAGCACCGCATCTAGACTCTCAATGCCAACAGCCCTGCAGTGCTTTCTGACAGAAATACTCAAATGAGATTAGCTCCTCTCAAGGGGCCAGGCTAACGGCCTTCTTAGCCCCCTCAGCACACACAGAAAGTGCAATGGATAGGTGACTGGCACTTAGAAATATCAAATTTATTTGTGTGCACAACATAAATCTGTAAGCTGGTCTATTTTCACCCCTAAGGAATGTTGGAAATCAACACCTTGGTCCAAGCAAGTCATCAGGTTACAGCTAACCAGTAACTTCTTTCTTAGCCTTTCGTGGTCAAGGCTTTTCCACATGCAGAGAAAACAAGGAACCAGCTTATTGTCAACTGGAGAAATTCACCAGATTCTCCTGCTGGCTTTCCATCTGTCCCTGTTTCTAAGAGGAGCCACTTTTCCTTCTGCCAGACTGCAGCGCTTGCACTGAAGTACGGTGGCTGAATCACACTTGACCCAGTTCCGGACTCAAAAGGGACAGGCATGCCTGCATTTGACATGTGCAAACCAGTTGAACTTGGGTTGCGACATCTCCTAAGAGACCTGGATACTGTGATGTGGGTAGTGTAATGCTGTGTAGAATTTTTTTTCAAGAGATTTATAGCCTCTTTCCAGAATGAAGGAGGGCTTTGGGCATAGTGTATACCAGCTAATATCTCACAAACACTATGGAGAGAGAGGTTGGTCAAGAGGTATCAGCTACTAATGTAACTCATAGAACTTCCATCTTCAGGAAGTGTATCCTTCTAAGTGGTGCTTGGAGAAACCACTGTAGACATAAGGCTGTAAAGTGCTTGTGGAAAGAGAAACCCTCTGGCATTCTGGTAGACCAATGGCTTGATCCATGGGGAGCAGATGGGAAACATTTGGCTCTCCAAACGTAGTTGGGCTCTGCCTCCCATCAGCTACAGGCAGCATGGTCTGTGATACAGAATCTTGGGATCCGTAGTCCAACTTCTGGAGGCCCAAAGTTCCTGCATGTCTCTTCCCCCCCCCCCATTTCACTGATACTCACTAGAGCTGAAACAGATCAGGAATGCATTTTGTATAATGTTTTAAAATGCTTTTATAATTCTTGAATTATTTTTGTGTTATTATTTTAATATTTCCTTATATAATAAAATTGTGGTTGCTTTTAAAATGTCATTTATGATTCTTGTCTCTTTTAATGATTTGTGAGCCGTCTTGAGTTCCACTACCAGGAGAAAGGCAGCACAGAAGTGCAGCAACTAAATGAATGAATGAATGAATGAATGAATGAATGAATGAATGAATGAATGAATGAATGAATGAATAGAACGGAGATGAAAATTAGATGTGAAATCCTGTTGTTAGTGGATTAGGACCTAACCTTGAGCCTGACTGAGGGGAAAGGGTTGAGAGTCTCGCTTTATGGTGGGGAATGAAGCTAACTGAAAGGAGAGAAGCAGGACGTCTCTGGGGAAGTGATTGATGCAGACCACTATCCTTTGTGAAAGACATTCTGGTCCTGATGGTGTGGTAAGAAGTCCAACTGAGCTCAATGGGAGATTTCTTTCTGAGTAGGATAACAGGACAGTTACTTCTGCTCAATTTAGTAGGACCAGTTTCTGAAAGCCCAAGTGAACAGAATCGAAGGTTAAGTGAAGTTGCAGCCCTACACACAACTAACTACCTGCAAGTAAGTCCACTAAACCTACCAGGAACTAGTACCAAACAGGTGCTATGGAGAAGTGAGTCTCCTCATTCGGGAAATTCAAGCAAAGCAGATGGTATAGAGTCATCTGTCCACTTTAGTGGACAGAAGCTGTCACCCTTTTTGGAATTTTAGAAGAGGTAGCCATGTTAGTCTGTACAAACATACCAGGCAAAATTCAAAGAAACAAAACAAAACAGAATAAAAAAGGACATGTTAGTCTGTACAAACATACCAGGCAAAATGCAAAGAAACAAAAGAAAATAGAACAAAAAAAGGACAAAAATATGTTGCACCTGAAAGACTAACTATTATACTTTAATCTGATGGAGTGGATATGTCCACAAAAGCTCATATTAAAATATAACAGTCTTTAAGGTCGCACATGTTTTTGTCGTTTGTTTTGTTTTGTTTCTTTTTGGAATGGAAGCCTTCTCTAACTGAAAACAACCTACTGCCTGTTGTAATTTGTTAGGAACCCCATTTTTTCCTTAAGGATACCTTCCCTATGTTTGGTTCTTTCTTCTGCTTGTCCTCTCTTGAATGGACAATCCAGACATGTGAGGACTAACTCGGAAAATCAAGCGTCTGGCAGCAAAAACAACAAAGCTCCTGGGAGTGCCTTAAAGACGACTGTCTTTGCATAAAGTTCCCCGGCCTGGAGGCCCTTCCAGCAGATGCCCGAACTGAGTTGCAGGTAGTGGCAGGAGTGGGGCAAAGATGCAAAGCTTTCTTTTTGCTGAGCCACATCCCTCCGGGCGTCCTAGCCCGTGTGGCCGTGCTGGCCCAGGTCTTCTCGGAAATCGAGCTGAAAAGCAAGATTTCTTCTCTCTTCAGTAAAAGTCAACGGGAGACACGCAGACGAAGGCCTCCTCCTCCTCCTCGTCCTCCTGTGCTGGAGGCTCACGGTGGATGATGGAGCTTTCGAAGGAAGCAGCAGCCGGGTCCGTCCT